ATTTGCGGTGCAAACGTATAAAGCATCCATCTTTAGCAAATAGGTGGTTCAACTAAAAACAATAGTAACTAACGATCCAAATGTTTATTTTTAAAATTTATTTTTTATTTCTATTTTTCAAAAAAAATTAATTTTCATATTCATGATCTTCATGTTAAAGATTATATATTCTCTAAAAATAAGATAAAATAGTATTTATTGTCAAGCCCGTATTTCTACATATGTAGGCTTGGCGGTATGCTAACTGTGTGTGTGTGTGTATATATATGGGAATGATTTCATGCAACGGTTGCATAGTAATATAATGCAAGAATATTAAAAAATGATGTTAGAGCCATTTGTTTGATCCAAATTTTGAAAGAAAAAGTTTATATAGAGCCAAGGCTCTAAACTATCAAATTAGAGCCCACCTAAAAAATTTCTACTAAAAGAGGTTGTTTTGATGCACAAATATCCTCAAATTGATCATTTCGACATCAAGATGCATAGACATGAGAAAAAAAAAGGAGTTAAAGTTTTAGAAATAGTGCATTTTGTAGCGCATTCTTAGACCATCAATTTTCAAGTTTTCATAGATCTACTCGATCTACACTATTTTTTAAGCTTTAAATTTTATAATTAAAGATGAAAATGTAATTTTAAGCATATGATAAAGATGTCCAGTATTGAAACCACAATACTATTTGAAGGTACACTTTATTTTAATTGTTTAGATCCTCGATTCTATACAAACTGTACCCAATTTTAAAATATATACTATTTTCATTGTAATAAACAATCACAAAAAAAAAAAATTAGAAAAAGCAACCTAGAATGTACTTTTTTAGCCCAATTAGCATAGGCCGTCTATTTTGGTGTGATACTTAGATCTAAACCTCATAATGATCTTTTTTCTTTTAAAAAATTTTAGATAACTTTATTATCATTAGATTAACAATATTAAAACATAAAAAAATGATTTTGAATTCATAAAGGTCTAGATTTTAAAATTCATTAAAATTCATCAAAATGGACGATCTAGATTCATTGTTGGAGGTGACTCATTTTGACCATATATAGGGTGCAAATTAGTTTTTTTTTTTTTAAGATTTGATTATTGAGATGAAGAGAGTATGTGTGAAAAAATTTAGGTCATACAAATACCACAAACATGGTTTTCTAGAAGTCTGGTAGCATTATACTATGATGTAATCATTGCATTAGATCATTTCCATAATATATATATATATATATATATATATATATATATAGTAGTAGGTAAAGTT